TGCAATTGGTGAATTTTGCTTTAATATTCTGGCTTGATTAAAAAGGGAGCACAATAAATGCTAGCAAAGTGAGGAAGGAGACGACTGCAATAGCCAGGCAGAGAAAATACAGCTTGCAGTGTTTTGCAGCTGTGGCAAAGTAGGATGGACTGATTGGGAAGATCAAGATGATCTTGATGGTAGGGCCTTGTCACAAGCTGTTTACATGTTAGCGTAGTTGTCAGATGTGGTGAGTTTCATTTGTTTGGCTAAATGCTTACAGAGTCTGAAGACAGGTGTTTTTGCTGTGGGTACACTTAGTACATTCATTAGTCATCTCTCATTTCGATTACTGTAATGGCTTCTGGCTAGACATTGTCCTTCTTCTGCTCTTCACTTGCAATCTATTCAGAAATCTGCCACATACATAATATCTTGTCATCTTTTCTGTTCACTTAGTTTTGCTGCCAGATTCCCTTAAAACTGACTTTAAAGGATGCTCTCAGGATGAAAACAAAACCACACTTTGAGTTCCTAGTTAAAAGAAATAGTTATTTGTGCTGTCTTGTAGTTATTTCATAAAAAAATTTTTTAAAAGCCCATCACTCCTGTGGTGTGTCAGTCACCTTGGAGTTCTGGAGGATGTACATGGCAGTGAATGATCACAGTAATTCACCAGGCGTCTTCTCCCACTGTGTGGGGTCCTGCACTCAGCCAGCTGGTTACCACAAGAAGAGATTTAAGATTTCCCTGTAGAAGAGAGGGAGTGGTGCTTGTGCGTGCATTGCATCCTCTCCTGCCTTGAAGAGAGGAATAGGGCAAGTTGCTGCTCATGCCCCAGTGGGAAGAAGAGAATAACTACGTTAGTTTATAGTGAGTGTGCAAAGTTGCTGTGGAAGAAAGCAATGAAATGACAGCTTTGGTAGTGCTTGTGATCTAAAGATCAGCTTGTTGCCTTCCCTCTTTCCGTGCTTTTTATTTCTGAAAGGCATCTGGGAGAGAGGGTTCAGAGGGTGAGGCAGGGAGGTAGGGTTGTGCTGTGTTACTGGCAGGAGAGAGAAGCTGGCTGCCTCAGGTTCAGAAGTGAACCTGGAGATCTGACAGTTGTGGACCACCGATGGGTTATTATGAGCGTCAAGGGTAATGGCTGTTAGAAGGAAGAGGAGGATTTTCAGTTTAGGGAGAAGTGGATTGGATTACCAGGTGATTTGGCTCATTTTGGAATCCAGTGATGGATTCTCTCTGTGTCGTTCGCATGTGCAATTGTCCTTTACTTAAATAGAGGTTACTTGTATCCTGAAGGATGGTAAGAGAAGGTGCGTCTCTCCTAATAGGAAGGAGACAAGAGCTTACTTGATTTCAAGGATTGCAAATGGAGTGTGATTGCAAATTATTGGAGATAATGAGAGTAAAAAATTTACATGTTAATACCAAAATTAATAACATTAGGAAATACAGTAAGTACCAGAGAAAGACTCCGTGAGAATTATGAACCAGGAGCCCTGAGAGCTCTTCCCAGTGGCTTACTGTGTGGCAATGGAAGAGCCATGCTGGATGTGACTTGTACGAGCAGTGAGATCTCACAGCTCCATGTATGTGACTGAAATGGGTAAATGCTCCGGGTCTCAGGGAATCAGCCCTGAGGCTGTACCTCTGCACTTGCCAGGCTCCAGCAATCTGCGCAACACTGGGCTTTTGACCTGTTTCAAAAAACGTACTTACTTTCCAAAACAGTTTCAGAGCCTTGAAAAGAGTGATCCTGCAGTGATTGTGGAAATACAAATATTTTTCTATTGTCTAATATTTGGTCTCAACTGCAAAATAGCTTGTTAGCTTTACAGTATGTTCCTGAGGCCTCATCTGTATGTCAGAATGGTTATGAATGGGAAATAATGTTATAATTCTACTATTCTCTGTCAGTAGGATGGCCAGTGGATATGGTTAAAATGCTTTGAGATTTGAGAACATTTTTCAAGGCATTTTAAACTGTTTGCTCCTATCTGTGGAGGAGACAAATATGAGCTGGATTGATGTGTACTGTTCCAATTGTTCTGCTTGGTGTCTGTGTCCCATGTCACAGGCCTGTGCTCCTAGAAGGAGCAGCCTTTCTTGAAGGCTGTGTGGAATATATCTGGTAGGGCATGGGGAGCCTCAACAGTAATCCCATCTGGATTTTGTCTTTTCTATCCCCACTCTCTCTTTTCTGTTTCTTCTCTAAGGGAAAGAGCAGTGACTGTCAGAGCAAAAGGAACGATGTAACATACACTTTCAGACAATGGGAAATGAATGACCCAAACCCTACAACTTGGACTGGGCTATGGCTGCTGGGCTGGGTGAGGAGTGCTCCCTCCTTTCTGGTTCCTCATCTTCCCATGCTCCCCAGCAGCAGCTAGAGCTCCAGGGGAGAAGGCGGCCTTGGGCCCACGGCCCCACAGGCAGACAGGGCTGTGGACCTGCTGTGGGACCCAGGCATAGTTCGGACCCCTTGGCCTGGTGGGGCAGGTGGACCCTGGGCATCCGCATACGGCTGCGGTGTGACACAGGCAGTGTGTGGCACTTGGAGATACCAGTCAGGTGGTAGGGAGGTAGGACAAGGAGCCCCAAGTGGGAACTGCAAACTTAGGAGGAGGAAGGTCAGTTTTTCTAGAGCCTGGAGTGCACGGAGAATTCTTGGGAAGAACAGAGAATAAGTAAGACTCTTTACAGTTGCAGGGAGGGGATAACACTGGAAGATGGGATGGAAGGTCTGGGGCAAACCAGAACGTGAAGGGCCTTCTACACTTCTACGTGTGTGTGGGTGGTATAGCTGAGGAAACACAGGAAGGGGCTCCAAACAACCGTAGAACAAAAAAGGGAGAGGCTTGACTAAAAACATATGAGAAGGGCTGAGTAAGGGCATGGCTTGGCCAGGAACAGGGGAGGTTTAATGGTGTTAGTTACTAAACTGGGTGACAGAGAATGACCAGAAAGGAAAATGTACCTTATCTCTTGAATTCATGCAGGTCATACTGAGACATGGGATATGTGAGCAGAAAATACGAGGTTGGCAAGACAGACTGATCTATCCATGTTAACCTTTGTGTATGCAAACAAGTAGTAAACTTGGGGAAAGACTAATTGGATTTGAAAATTGATGTCAGTGTGAGGTTTTCGGAGGGTGATTAAGAACATGGTATTTTTTTTTTTTTTTTTTTGGTAATCCAGTGACTGTTCTGAGAAACTGAAGATACTGCTATTAACCAGAAAGGTCCTTTGCTCCGTGTCTCATTTCGATGGGCATCGCTACATTAATATCTACATTTCCTCTGCTAAATTACTTTCTGGTCTGAAGTTCTCCCTGCCTCTCCTTCGGCCCTCCTTTTTTCAGCTTATTTTCTGTCCTTAAAAAATGGAAAAATCCTTATAAAATCTGTGGCTTCAGCAGCACACGTACCTCCCCAGCCTTCTTTCAGCCAGGGAATTTAGCTCTCGCTGTTGTCTGCCCATGGTGAAGTTCATGTTCCCAGCATGAGAAGTCCCTAAAAGTTCATCTTAGTCCTTCAGTGTCCTAGTCCCACTGCCACATGCAGTTTGCAGTGTTGCAGATCCTGTTAGTTCTGGGGTTTATCATAGAGGGAGTGTGTGGTGGGTTTTTTTACCAAGAGGCAAAGCTACAATTTTTTTTGTTGCTTTCTCAAATACCAGGTTATTCTTGTTTGTATAATTGACCTTGATGTGCCTAAGTTCTCTTTTTAGGAGGTGTATGTAGCTGGCTTACTCGTTTTCCTTTAAAATTTAGATCATATTATGCTTTGTTTTAATTAATTAATCACATAATCTTGTTTGTTTCTGTTTATTAGTGTTTCTTACGCTGTAGCACATGCTGGCTTTTGTCTGACTTGCTGAAAAAACAGCTCAACCACTCTTATTCTGTAATCTCGTTGAGCTACTCGCTTGTCTATCAGTAGAAGCTTTAGAATAATAAAAACACACATCTGGGACACTCTCCCAGGTAATGAATGCTCTTTGCTCAGCGCACACCTTCCAGAAAAATGAGTCTAAATTACGGAGCTTTGCAGTGTAACTGCTAGGCCAAAATCTTGTGCTTTCTCTTGTCAATGGATGAGATCATTCTAGAGGTAGTTCTGTCTCCCATCTCCCCTTAAAGGCTGCCTGTCTCCAGCTGCTTGGAGTTTATTCCTGGAGAAGGTTAGCTTGATACTGACGCTAATTTCAGATTCACTTTAAGGTGTGTCTTGGTTTTTCCTCCAGCCCAAATCCACGACCAGCGAGGTGCTTAAGGACATTGTGAAAAGTCAGTGCCATGTAATGCAGTCTGTAAAGGCTTCTCTGTGAGCACTGTGGAAAGAGTTGCAACAGAACTTCCTCGAGGCTAGCCCTACGCTGAACACGGTGTATTCCCCTATGGATCTGGCAGTGAGCTACTCCTATACAGTCTCTGTGTGATGAAGTACTGTTTCAACCTATACATTGAGGAGTATTGAGCAACCAAGCATGCAGACTACTGGTGGACCTATCCATGCGTTTGTAGCAGGTGTAACAAGCTCTTGTCCTATCAAGAGAGGGCAGACATTACTTTCTCCTTGCCTTGCTAGAGTCACCTTTGTATGATCTGATGACACCTGTGCTAACTTACTGTCACCTGACTCCGTTCTTGAGCAGGCACAGGGCAAAGAAACATGCTTATCAGCTGACATAAACTAGACTTACATCATCCAACTACTGAAAAAGCAGCAGACCGAAGCCTTTGTGTGCACTGAAAGGAAACGCAAGCAGAAGAGTCTTGCAGTGGCAATGGGCCACTGACCACATCATCCGCTTTCTTCTCTGAGAAGGGGGAGGTACAAGTGCTTAGGTGCTGCTTCCCTGTTCTTCCTCAATAATTAAGAAGCTGGTTTTATCCTTCGCTTGATTTGACTGTAAAGTGCAGTCATAGCTGGCGTCTGCCGCCTGCAGTAACAAACAGCAGTACGATAAGCAGTGCCTTACTAACATAAGCATGTTTTACTTTTTCTTTACAGGTAACTGTGCTGGTCCTTTTTGCCCTTGCATTCCTAACGTGTGTTGTATTTCTGGTAGTCTACAAGGTTTACAAGTATGATCATACCTGTCCGGAAGGATTTGTTTTCAAGGTAAATTGCATACACGTTCTAGAAAAATAGGAGAGTATGTAATATTCTCAGTGTTGTTTTCTGCTTAACCTTGTTAAGACATGCTGTATTGCTTAGAAATTTGTGTTTGTTTTCATCGGTTCGTGTGCTTCCTGCTATGTTTCTTTCTGCTTAATTGAGGTTGTACTATTGCACAATTTTCATAATGTTGTTATTTTGATAATACTTTAAACATTGAAAATATAGCAAAAGTCCCAACACCAGTGTCCTTCAAACCTACTTCATCTGCAATTGTCTGGACAAAGCCCTGATTTATTAGATCATACGGTTTAATGTTGTATATTTCTCCAAATTCTTACGTTTTAGGAAAGAGGAGTGATAAAACCTGGAGGAAAAAAATTACTCTGGAATATGTGTCAAAGAAACAGTAGAGTGATGTTCTCATTAAGAGTAGGAGAGTTACCTTAGGGTTATTTTTGTAGAAAGAACTTGCTGTTCTAGAACAGTGACCTCGGAGCCCTACTGCCACAGGCCAAAAGTGATGCCAAAAAAGGGAAAAAACACTTATTGGAAAAAAAACTGGTGCTAACCGAAAGGGAGGCTGGGACTTACTTCATTTGTGCGAGATGGTAGTGCTGGCTCCTCCTCTGTGACCTGAGCTGAAAGTCTGACAGGTACCATTGATTTCTCATTTGTAAATTTAGCAGTGTTGAACTTGGCCGTAATCAGATAAGAAAAGTAGCAGTGATGATGGCATTCTTCCCTCTGATTTTTTTTTAGAATATTTAGTCACATAATGAATCAAATGGGCACCTAGTATGATCTTCTAAAGGATTTAAGAAAGAATGGCTGCCTCAGCACTCCTTGACAAATCCTGTTCAGGACTTTTGATTCTGTCACTTCGGGCACATAAATATCCTACAAGAATCTAGTCCAAAGTTACAGTCAGTGATGCCCTGCTGGGTTAACTTGGCTCCAAGCATTCAGTTTTAGGTTACTGCTTTCCCTTGGTTCAAGCAAGGGCAAGAGATACTGTGGTTAGAATATTTGGCTGTAACTCAGGAGACACAGCTTTTGGTTCTGCTGTTGGTTTTTTGTTTTATCTCAGACAAGCGCTGAAACCGCACTGTGCTCATGTCTTATGGGACAATAGCCTTTTCTTTTCTAAGTTTTCTCTTGGTGTTGAGCAATTTGGAATACGGACTGTATGTTCCCACTGAGCCTACCTTGATGTGATGCTGACTTGACAGGAATGGCCAGTTACGTGCTCCAGTCATCAGGTCTAGTAACAGTCTTCTGCTGCTGCTTCCTTTCATACCATGTTGTCCCTTCCTTTGAGTTGCAGTCTTCTGGCTTGTGTTTTCTTCCTAGCATCACAAACATTGAAGGGGAGAACATTACATCTTTGCTGTGTTTCAGTTGCACTGTGAACAGAATCCAGTTGAGTTTCTTTCCTTAAGGCCTTGCTTGTGTTTGAAGCAGAGGTTGGGCAGAACATCCCAGAGCTCATGCTTTGTTGTTACGGTGCTGCATATACACAGGGTTGCGTTACCGTTATTCTCCCAGTGTTGGGTTTTGCGGAGGCTGTTTCCTAACTGCTTCATGGCATAATGCCAGGAGACACAGCATCTTTAGTCATGTAACTCTTTCGAGTTTTACAGGATGAACATATTAGCAAATGCCACAAGGCCTGAAACTAGCAGTGTTGATGTGAATTTGTATTTGTTGCCTTTGCGTCTTTTTTTTGGGAGAGTCCGTAATACGTCATGGCGTAGCTGACACAGGTGTCCTAAGATAGATGAAGTGTCTGTGGACTGGCTTCGTGCTTCAGGTGGATTCGACAACGTTCTCTGGCCTTTGGATGCTGATGTGATTTCCTGGTGGAGGGCAAAGGTGTTCCCTGCCTCAGGAAGCCTGGTACCATGGGAATCTCTGCATAAGGGCTGAGCTACTGCAGCTCTGATTCAGACCCACTCTTAGCTCATACATGGAGCATTTCCAAAGGTTTCAGTGTTTTCAGCCTTTCTGCTGTCCTGTGTATCCAGGGCTTGAAGGTGTGCTTAAAAAGGTGCTTATTTTCCTTTGTATAGCAATCTTAAACTGCTCCAGCCTCAATTTAGTGCTTGCTCACTTGTTCTGACACAGCCCTAATGCTGCTGTTGTGTAGATCACTCCTCTGAAGCACTCCTTACTAGCTGCTGGTCAGACTCACTGGAGTTTTTCTCAAAAGACCTGAGTGGACTTACATCCTGGAGAATTTCTCCAGAGGTTCAGTATGCTCCATACTGCATCTGTTAGCCTTTAGCTTTTGTTGCCAAGGCACCTGCATTGTGTCAGACTCATGGCGAGTACAACAACGTAATTTCAGTGCATTAAAGACACCACCATCATCCATTGAGTTTGGAATGTCAGACCTAGTAAAGTAAATGTGACAGGAGATACTATTTACAAGTGAGTACCACTGGGGTCTTTGACCTGTCAAAGGAACAAAAGGAGTCATGTTCAGCCACATACAGACTAGCAACCAGGAGTTTCTCTGGCATCAGAGGCCTCAACCCAGAACTAATTTCTGAAATAGAGGGGTTGTGAAAGAAACAAGAGACTGGCAACTCACTCTGAAGCATCCCAGTTATCATGGCCTTCCTTATTACTTCTCTTACCTGTGAAGCAAGGAAACAAATAAAAAGGATGGAGAGGAATGTTTTGCGTAAGCTGAAGATCTCAGGCAAGCAGCAGGATGAGAATTGGCACCGTTTTCCATTGCTCGGTCGCTGCCGAGTGCTGAAGGGCTCGCCTTGATAAGAAGCTATGGCAAGGGGGCTGTCTGTGGGTGGTACACAGGGAGTAATGAGTAAAAAGGGAGTTTTTTCCTGTCTCTTCTAGAAGCATGAAACCCCGTGAGCAAAAATGCAGTCAAGATGGAAGCTTCTCTGTGTTTCTTCAGGACCTTCTGTCAGATGTTGCACATGTTTGTGACTACGAAAAATAAGATTACTGAGTCATTTTGGCTGTTACAAAGCAAATTGCTTCTAAAAGCAACAAAAGATTCTGTAGCAGTTTTTTAGACTGGCAGTAATCTTGGCTTGTTTTCAGCACTAGTAATTATATTTGCTTGAGTTTCCTTGGCAGATTTCATTAGATCAATGGATTGTGTTCCTTCCCCCATTTTAAATATTTGGAATTGTGACTACATCCCATGACTGGGTGAAATAATCACTACAAAGATAGTCTACGTACTCCTTAATCATTTTATCACATCAGAAGTAGTGTCACTTATCCCAGATAAAGCATGGATAATACTTCCAGAAGATGCCATGGTTGATGTAGGACAACATGCATATCAAATAGCTCTATTCCAGAGTTGTTCTAGATTATTTTTTTAAATCTAGGTCCCTGCCTTACAGCTGGCATATACGATGATTATGTTTGTGGGGAAACCTCTGTTGACTGACTATTCAGCACTGTTTGTCTGCTTAGCTGGGGTTAAATCCCATCTGCTTTGCCGTGCTACTTCCAACAAAACTGTGAGGGACCATTTGCCCTGGCTGCTAGCTTAACAAAAGACAACAAATAAACTGAGCCCGGCTGGATGTGGTAACTCTGAGCGCTGTTGCAAGCCTGACACGCGTTGAGGCTTCTGTCACACGAGCAGGTCAGAAGAGCCGAGGTGTTAACGCCGTGGGAGGCTGTTGGTCTTGGGACAGCGAGTCTTTCTTCAGCAGTCCAGTCTGCCACGAGATGAGCCCAGAGTAAATGTGGACACATTTGAGGTAGCATCTGGTCCTAAAAACCATGACATTTTTGTCTGTTTGTGCTCAGAAATTTCCAATATGAAGTTTTGTTTGCCAAGTTCTGTGAGAACAGCAGCAGTTCAGAGTTGCTGTGCTGTAGTATTACAGATTTTAGTCATCTGGTGCTGGAAGGCCGAACAGCCTATTTCTTTTCAAAACAGTCAGAGCAGAAATGATTAAACTTACTTTTCCTCAAGCTGCAGCTACTCATAGGTTATATTTTAGAGGGTCACCCTCTGCCCCAACACTCTGCGGTATCAGGTAAGACTGCCTGGACTGGCAGATATGGCAAAGGACCTGTGGGGAGACCTGTGACCTTCTGGAGCAAAACCTGGTGGGTCACAGGATATGTCTAAGTCATTTTTTCCTTCAGTGCAACTAGCTGCTTCGTGGGCTTTTACTGCATCATCCCTGGAAGGGTTGCTAGATGTTACCTACTGACTAATGCGCTACCTCCGCAACATTCACTGTGGTTTTTAAGGTGGCAGCGAAGTTTGGATCCTACTTAGTATTTAACTCTCTAAATCAGGTATTTCACTTTCAAAAGCTCTGAGCATCTAGCAGTTTCTAGGTAGTGCTCTTACACTTGTGAGAAATGAAATAATGTTGTCCCACGGTACAGACAGCTTTTCAAAAGCCTGCTGTTGGCTCTCTCTTTCTGACAATCAAGTGAAGTATTTTGTATGTGTGCGCACACTTGCACATAAGCTTGGCCACCCACAGTGTTTTCTCTGTACGTCCTACTGGGCTGCAAAACTGTTTGTACCTTGGCACCAACATATCTGTGTTGACTTCTGTCCCTCAGACTGCAGGCACTGTATTAGCAAGTGCCTGAAGCTCATCTGAGGATGGAATGGAGGCATCAGTAACTGTAGACCAAACAGGTGGAATTAGGTGGGGAGGAAAAAGCAGCAGAATAATTTCAGGCAAGAGTGTTTCTTTTATGTTAATTGTTCTGGCATATAAACCCAGATTGGTTTTACTGGCAAATACATGAGTAGTTCAAGGATTGCAGG